CTACAGATTGAAACAAACAAAAATATCATTTCATCAAACACCAAAACAAAACCTTGCCTACGCCAATTAGCCTTCAGTGGAGTTTTGGGGAAAAAGTGTTTGGAGTTTCGGTGCTCAAGGATGATGTTCATTCTTGTTGATTTACGCTGCGAGAAAAGTATCTCAAAGTTTTGAGAAGTGGGGAATGCACAATCAAAGGAGTTCCTTGTTGATTTTCATGTTATATAGCCAGAGTTAGCTAAGGTTTAGCAGTGGTTAGACTAAATCTAAATTAACATTTCTAGTAGATTGTTTATAGACAAGTGTTCCTGAAGGTTTTTGATCTCGAGTTGGGATTTTTCTCCATCATCAATTCATGGTGTTTTTTACTTTAATTTTATTTCTCTTGATCTGATTATTAAATTTATTGATTGACTCATAGGTTTAAGACATAGATGCAATTAAAATAGAAGAACTTGCAGGATCTTCCCAAACATATGAACTTAGCCTACTTTACTATAAGAAGGAAAATACATTATCCCTCAAATCTATTATGGAAGAAGACGATGACATTATTGACAATGACTCTCTTAAGGATAAGAAAATAGCTTATTTCGTTAAGTCCTTCAAGAAAGCCTTTAGGAATAAGAAGAAACTTCAAGATAAATATAAGAGTGGCTCTAGTAAATCTAAGAAAGATAATCGACAGAAGAAAGATACTAAAGATGCCTAGAAGAGGTCTGTGAGGTGTCATGAGATCTAGGGTATTGGTAATGTTAAATCTAAGTGTCCAATTTATAAGAAAATCCTAAGCAAGTCTATGAACGTTACTCTCATTGATGACGAGTCTAAGTTCAATAATCAAAGTGAGAACTCCAATCTTGATAAGGGAGAAATTATATGGCATTCACTTCTATATTTAAGAGTGATGAGGACTTGGAAGAAAGCGTTGTACCAAAGAAGATTTCAAGGGTGATAGGGATAGACGTGAGGCTTATGACCAATTCGTTTGAGGAGTACCTTAAGATTAAAAAGGTGAATCGCATTGCCTTTAAGAAATTGCAAATCTTGAGTTAGAGAAGGAGAATCTTCTGGTCAAATTTGAGGAGTCTAGTATTAGATTGAACGAGTTACGGGTATAGAAAAATTTCATAGAAGTGAAGGTTAAGACTCTTACTAGTGACCTTGAGAAATCTAGTACCCAACTTCAATCCTTTACTAGTGGGTCTAAGAAGATCGACAATATGGTAAGATTGAATAAACCTAATATCCATGTTTCATCATCTTCTAAAACCAAGTTGGCACCAGCCTCTGGTAAGTCTAAATCTCAACCTAAATTTGGTTTGAGGTTCATTCCCATATGTCGTAATTGTGGTATTTTAGGTCACATTAGAAATAAGTGTTGTATGCCATTGATTAGGAACAACAAACAAGATCTAGTTACTCACGTTACACTTGACTGAGTGGATGACTCAATTGACTAAGATTGCATCTTCACTTAAGAAGGTTTGGATCAAGAAGAATGAAATCATAGATCAAAGTGATGTTAATTCGATATTGCTCGAATTACTCTTCATAGTTTGAGCACTTGTGTGCCTCATTGAGTGGGTTGTTAGATGTATGCATGTGTTTTATTCATGATGTTTAAATATTAATGCTTGCTCTCCAAACTTTTTACTTGTTTTCACATTTTGCTTATTATTAAGAAATATAAAAATTTCAAAATTTAAAAAAAAAATGAAAAAGAAAAAAAGATTTTTTTTTTTTTTATATATATTTTAATTTGTGATGAAGTAGTAATATAATTACTGAATAATATATAAAGTTTCCATTAACTTTATTTTGAACTTATTTGGAGTACTTGGTAAGTTATTTCATATATCTTGTGCACTACACACATTAAACTCTTATAAGTGGGTTTTGACCGTGTGTGTGAGATTTGGGATGACGGTTATCTGTGTGCTTGGTTGAGTTTAAATGTGAAATAATCTTTACTAGTTGACCTAAGATCCTGTATATTCCCCATAAAAGAAAAGGGTATTGAGCTCCAAAGAAAAATAATTGAATTACATAAATATTATGAAACAATCTTATACTTTTTTTTTTATGGCCTATATGACTTGAATGATTAAGCTTGTAGGATATCTGAATACCTAGTACCTTATAAGTCATCCGATTTAGGAGTTATCGGCGTAAAGCTCGTTATAAGGGTTACATATAAAGTTTAATGAAGAAGAGTTAGCTAGCACATAAGATTGAAAAAATAAAAGAAAATATATATGTGCACACAAATAGGGGGAGAAAGAAAAACTTATACAATTAAATATGAGCTTTTAATTTAAAAAGGTTCTAGTATCACTATGTTTGTCTTCATGATTTGAAGAATATATTCATTTATCAGTGATTATTTGTATGTCATTTCTCATTTATTTAAGGTTTCCAGACTTGCTTACATGAATTTAATAGCACTTTTCATACATGAATAACTAATAAAATTTACTCCAATAGGTTTAAAATAAATTACGTGAAAAAAGTTTACCGCTTATGAATTATAAATATGTATAACTAAACAAATAACTGTTTGTGATGATATTTTCAAAAATTCATAAAAAATAGTTGTCACAAATGATGTTATTTTCATGATGTTTTGCATAATTTTGCATTTTCATACATGTGTCTTATTTTTCACTCATTCCTCTTGATGTTATTCAAGTTTATATTACTATTTTTCCTTTGTTATTCGTGACAAAAATGAGGAGAGATTAGTATTTATTTCAGAGAGTTGAGTATAAGAGTTAAAGAGAGAATTTTTTTAAATTAATTTTATTTGATTTGATGATTGGATATGAGTTAGGGAAAGAAGTTGAGTAATAAGAATTTTTGATCTAACAATTTTTTCCATATTAATATTAAGTTTGATTTAGTGTTTTGTCTAATATCGATATCATGTTTTGAGTTGCTAGTTCTACTTTATTACTTGTCAAGTTTCTCTTGATTTTCACATGGTATTGTTGTTTTCATGTATTCAGAAAACAAGTTGATAAGAATCATAAGATGTTGAAGTAAATTTTGTGTATTAAGTCTTGTGGATAGATATTTGTTTTAACTTTGACTTTGAAATAAATGATTTTGTCATGGGATGTCAAATGTGAAGATTGTTAGGTCCAAATTATATTATTAGTAATTCTCAAATTGTAATTGACAATTTTCTTAGCCAAAATCATGTTTTAGTTGAATTGTATTAGGAGTTAATCGAGTTGTAATCAAAGTTAAAATATAAGTTATTGAGTTTTGGTTATAATAGAAATAGTTTGAGGTTGATCGAGTCAAACAAGAAGTCAAAGAAATATAAGAAGATAAAGATTTGGAATTCAAGAAGTAGAGCGAAAAATGGACTCAACACCGCTCTCGGGTCGTCCCGTTGGCGCTTCAGCACTATAAACAGGGTCTTTGCCACTTGCTTGGTGCGATTCTTGTGTTCGAGGGTGGACTTATTCGGAAACAACTCAGATTCGATTTTAACTGTGATTTTCAATCTATTTTCACCCCTATCATTACCCAGTAAAAAATATGTAGCCATTAGTCAATCTCAAAGTGTGTGGAATCATTAAATTACTTTAGAGATCGCATTATTGAGGATCCAAATACACATTTATTGGCTCTTAGATTCAACACATGATTGTTCATTAGTCATCCCATATATTGATTCATCATTAGTTGAGGCTTGTTGTAAGTCAACAATTTGCTTTTTTGAAAGCCAAATACACATTCCAATATTTCTTACATCAGTCTACAGATCAAAACACTAAAAAGATGATTTGATCAAACACTAAAACAAAATCCTACCTTTGCCAATTAGCTTTTAGAGTTCTAGAGTTTTGGTAAGAGGTAGTTGGAGTTCCGATGCTCAAGGACGAGGTTCGTTCTTCTTGATCCACGGGGAAAGAAAAGTAGCTCAGGGAAGTGTGGGCGTGCACAACCAAAGTTCCTTGGTAATTTGCAAGTTAAGTGGCCAAAGTCAATTAAGGTTTAGTAATGTTTGAATTAATTGTAAGTTATTTTTTTAGTGGATCCTTTACTTGCAAGTTTAACTGGAAGTTTTTTATTCCGAGTTGAGATTTTCCTCCATCATCCCCCCTCCTCCTTTGTGTTTTGATTTGTTTATTTAAATTGCTTGACTGACTCATAGGTTTAATTGGATTAATTAAATTTAATCATCTAGAGATATTAATAAGTGATTTGTTGCTTGCTATTTTTTTTAAATTTTGCATTAGGGTCTAAACTATTCTGCTAATTAAACTTTCTGTGTTTCTTTTCCCTTTTATTTTTTTTCTCATTACTATTATGCTTTTTTATTGGATCATGGTTAACTAAAATGCTCATCTACGAATGAAGTTTAGTCTTCTATACACTTCTTGAATTGATTTCATGTTACTATTTGTAATAGTAACTTGGGGTGGCACCTTGTAATTTAGTGAGATTATAAGAGCAAATATCCGAGCTAAAATATGTTTTTGCTCTTACTAGCAATAAATGGTATAGCTCATAAATGTTATTATTTTATTGCAATCAGGGTCGTCGAATCGTCTCTCATGATTTCAAAGGGTGGTCGGAATGCAACATTGCCCGTGTCGTCTTTCAGCCTCTAGAGTGGCAAAATAGAAATTAGTTGCTCAAATGTTGGGCTAAATAGGTAACAAATTTAAACGTCAGGCAAATTCAATTCGTTGGGGGGTAGTTGTGCCCGCACCCCCATACACAGTTCATTTCTTAAATTTCTATAAAACCTTCTTTTCTCTTTCTAATTTCTTGCAAGATTCTACAAATTATACATTCAAAAAATTTCTTCTTGAAGCAAAATTATTGAAACTCCCTTGTAGTTTACACTCCGTTAGCTTTCAGATTTTGCATTTTTTAGCAATTATCCCTGGTCAGATTCATTTTTTCATCAAAGTTCTTTGGTGTTTAGGCCATAGAGGGTATTTTGAATTATGGGTTTTGTTTAAAATCTGTGATAAGCAATGGGGAATGAGCAGACGAATTCCAAAACAGGAAAAATTGGGGTTGAGGCTAATCTCCCCAACTTTCCCCTTTATGTCAGGCTCAAATATGTGAAACTTGTGAAACTTGGTTACCATTACTTAATCTCAAAGGCTATATATCTCTTGTTATTTCCTCTACTCTGGATCATTTCTGCTTATCTCACGACTTTTTCTCTGAAGGATTTATTCCTTCAATTGAACCAGCTGAAATTCAATCTTGTCACTGTTGTTGTATGTTCTTTTCTAATGGTTTTATTGGGCACATTTTATTTCATGACAAGGCTGAGGAATGTCTACTTGATGGATTTTGCGTGTTTCAAGCCTAAACCAGAACTTATGTGCAGTAAAGAATTTTTCGTGGAGACATCAAGAAAGGCCGATATTTTTACCAAAGAAAATTTGGGTTTTCAGAAGAAAATCTTGGAAAGATCAGGAATAGGACAGAAGTCATATATTTCGGAATCCCTTTTCCGCGTGCCTGTGAATCTGTGTATATCTGAAGACATAAAGGAGGCTGAAATGGTAATGTTTGGTGCAATCGATGATCTTTTAGCTAAGACAGCAGTGAAGGCTGAGGATATTGGGATTCTTGTGGTGAATTGTAGTTTGTTCAGTCCAACACCATCACTTTCTGCTATGGTAGTGAACCATTACAAGCTTCGGGGCAATATTGTGAGCTATAATCTTGGAGGGATGGGATGCAGTGCTGGATTGATCACTATTGATCTTGCCAAACAACTTTTACAGGTTTGTCAAATTACTTAAGTGCATGTTTGATATGCACACACATTGAAACGAAGACTCGGTGTTTTTAAACGTATGGGTCGAAACGGAACGTTGTATTAGACACCTTTTTTTTTTTTTTCCTTTTTTCCCTCCGTTAATGCTAATTCTCTATGTATGTAAATTGTAATGTACAAGGTGCATCCCAACTCCTATGCACTGGTAGTGACCATGGAGAACATGACACTCAATTGGTATCTTGGCAATAATCGATCAATGCTCGTCACAAATTGCTTATTTCGGATGGGTGGTGCTGCCATCCTCTTGTCCAACAATTCATCTGATCGTCATCGTTCAAAATATCATTTAATCCACACTGTCCGTACACACAAAGGAGCCGATGAAAAAAGCTATGGCTGCATATTGCAAGAAGAAGATGACATGAAGAAAATTGGAGTGTCATTGTCCAAAGACTTAATGGCTGTTGCTGGAGATTCCTTAAAAACAAATATTACAACCCTAGGACCATTAGTCCTTCCCATGTCGGAACAGCTATTATTTTTTGTAACCTTGGTTGCAAGAAAGGTATTGAAAATGAAAATTCGTCCTTATGTCCCAGATTTTAAGCTCGCGTTCGAGCACTTCTGCATTCGTGCAGGAGGAAGAGAGGTGTTGGATGAACTGAAGAAGAATCTCGAACTTTCTGAGTGGCATATGGAGCCAACGTTCGAGCACTTCTGCATTCATGCAGGAGGAAGAGCGGTGTTGGATGAACTGAAGAAGAATCTCGAACTTTCTGAGTGGCATATGGAGCCATCAAGAATGACACTTTACAGGTTTGGGAATACTTCTAGCAGTTTATTGTGGTATGAAATGGCCTATTCAGAGGCCAAGGGAAGGATTAGAAGGGGGGATAGAAGTTGGCAAATTGCATTTGGATCAGGGTTTAAATGTAACAGTGCAGTGTGGCGTGCATTGAGGACCGTTGATCCGGCTAAGGAGAAGAACCCTTGGATGGAAGAGATTAATGATTTTCCAGTTGAGGTTCCACGGGTGGCAGCCATCAATAATTGAGGAAATTGTTCATGTTTTTTTCTTTCAGAAGGGATGATTAATTAGCTATATTAATAGGAATAACATTTATATTAGTCCTAAAGTTTACATAAGAAATATATATGATGAAAACTTTCTATTTCACGTCATCTTGATAAGTTTTGACAAGCCTTACGAAAACTGGCATGATCTGGCAAACTGGAAATTGACTTGAAAACCATTTTGATTATAACTGGAGAAATGTAAACGAAAAACCATTGTGGCAAACTCATTCTACCATAGGTTTTCAGTAGTATTTTCTCTTAAAAATGAGAGATTTTTGTTTAGGAGCACTGACTTATTGTAATTATGAATTCATAAAACTATAGTGTTTAATTTTTATTTTTTGTAATGATGAAAATTAACTTATGTTTGTAACTTTACCCTTCATTTGAAAAA